AAAATCATTCTAATTAAAAAATGGCAGAGGATCTGAATAAACATTTCTCTCAGGAAGACATACAGATGGCCAACAGACATGAAAACATTCTCAACATCACTAATCATTAGGAAAAATGCAAATTAAAACCACAATAAGGTATCACCTCACACCTGCCAGAATGACTATCATCAATAAACCAAACAAGTGTTGGCAAGGACGTAGAGAAAGGGGAATCCCCGTGTACTGCTGCTGGGATTGTAAACTGGTTCAGCAACTATAGAACAGTATGGAGTTTCTTCAAATAACTAATAATAGAACTACCATAAGACCCAGCAATTCCACTTCTGAGTATTTATCCGAAGAAAACAAAATCGCTAATTCAAATAGAGATACTAGTATGCTCATCACAACATTATTTACACCAACCTAGGTGTCTATCAAGAGGTAAGTGGATAAAGGAGCCATGGAATATTATTCAGCAATAAAAATCAAAGGAAATCTTGCCATGTGCAACAACATAGAATGACCTAAAGCGTATTGTGCAAATAATAAGTCAAATACTGTATGATTTCACTTACATGTGAAACCTAAAAAAACACACAAAACAAAGGAATAAACAAATCAAACAGAAATAGACCCACAGATACAGAGAACAAGCCAAAGAGGATGCCAAAGGGGAAGGAATTTTTTTTAAATTCTAAATAAAGATAAAAGAGTCAAGAAAACAAAAATGAATCCACATTCTGTGAGTGTTGTATGTCAGATGCAAAGTGACTTGTGTCTATAAGCTTATAAAAAGTATGGATAAATATGGATTTACTCATTGAACCCTAAAATGTCTAATTGAAGGGGTCACCACCTGAAACCTGTGTGTGTGTTTAGGCCAAATAAAAGTTAACCCTATTCCACAAAGTAGGGGTTATGTGTATGGAACTTATTACTCAACAAGAAGTGGGAAAAGTTAGAAATACAAATAAATTTTAAAGGGCTTATATAAATTGATGACAGGCCCATCCCAGTTAGTAAGAAAACATGCTACGTTTGGGTCATGTTATGAATGTTTGAAGTTAACATCAAAGAGGCCCAACTTTGCCAACTCTGCCAAGAGAGAGATGGCCTGGGGCCAGGGTGCTCCATGACAATTCTTACTGCCATGTGGGCACGTCTCCATCCACATGCTGCATTTTGGATGCCATGAGAAACTGCTAGGTCTCTGGCTTTGTGCACAGAAGATGGACCTGGAAGGAGCCAATCTTTGACAACAAATTAATCCAGACCATGATATCTAAGTTTTCTTGTTCCCAACCAGAAACATTCTAACTTTACATGAGGAATTAACTCTTGGAAATCCCATGAGAAAGTTTTTATAAGGATTAATCCACACTTTCTTCTTTGGTTTGCTCAAGTGAGAAGCAGGAAACCTTCCAGACATCCTGAACCTCTGACCTTTTTGTGGTTTTCCCATAAATATATGCAAAGGGCCATGCAGCAATTTTAAAAAAAAATCTCTTCACACTATATGACAGCATGGCCTTATACTACCCATACATCTAGAGCACTCACATCTCCAACCCACTATAGAATATGCATTGACTTGGACATTCCTTGGGGAAAAAAGATCTCATAGGTTGTCAGAAGCCCACTATCATATATCTCATTTCCAGAGTGCTCTTCTCCAGCCACCCTAACTGACCCCCCAGGCTGTTTTCTGCTGACAAGTGAGTCACTTTTACCTCTAGCCGGATCGCAACTCATACCTTCTCTAGGAAAATACTGGAACATCCATCTGACAACAGCCCAGATAATTAATTTATTATAATGTCTAGCAGCATTTGACAGGAAAAATAATATCCAATATATTTATTGCAAGACCTTCACTAATGTGACAAAGATGAATGCAAGCTTCCTTCAATCATTTTTCAGCTGTTATCCAAAACTGAAAGTGAAAGTTGAAAGTGTTTTTCAAATGTTCACTTTAAAATTATGAGGAGGAAGATAATGGTTTTACTTTAGATCTGCCTGAAAGTGGTACTTCTATAACAATGCTTTAGCATCAAGCCAGAAAAATAAACTTGCCCGCTAATGTAGTAAATGGGCCAGAAATAAGCCTCTCAGAGGTCGGGGGAGGAAGCACCAAGAAGGAGCTGTAGACTGGATTTCCAAAATAAAAGCTCTGAAACTCCTAGCATAATAGGTTTGAAAAGCGGTATCTTCTTTTGTAAAATGTACATCCCACTGTCACAATAAAGCTGAAATTGGGGAAAAAAATCTAAATGTCAATCATGATGAACATCGGCAAAACCCAACTTTAACTCCACTCTTCAGCAGAACATCCAATAGTGCCAGCCAAGTTGGCTGTGCTCTCGGTAAATATTTTCTCAGAAGCTTGGTTTCTTCTAACATTAATCCTTCCCAATATCCCTTAACCTGGGGATGTAAATGTCAAATAATAACTGTCCATTTCACTGATAATCTGAAGCTGGATCCCTTCTTCCTTCTGCAGGCCAGAGTAAGTGTCCAATAAAAGTTCTACCTAAGTCAGGAATAACCTAATTCACTTCTAATGATTAATTCTGCTCTGACCTCTTCACCATAAATAAAGCTGTTGGATTGGGAAAAAGATGTGAAACATGGACAAGGCAATTAAAAAAAAATCATGGAATAAAGGAGCAGTAGGAAAAAGAGAACAGATATTCTAAATTTAAAACACTCCTTGTTCTTTCTTGAAATAATGATTTATATTCCTTGAGTTCACAAGAGAGTAACTGGATATGCATGACATAATGCTGGAATTTTAGCTATTTTGCCTAAAGGTCATTAACAATTAGTACCACTAGGGGAAAAATCATAAAGATAGAATAACAGCCCTCTCTCAAAGGATGACTGAAACTATACTTGTAATCTGGCCATAATAAAGTATATTCTTTTTATATTAGAGCCCACGTGTTAAAAGGAAAACTGACAAAGTAGAATAGGTCTAGTAGGTGGCCATTATTAATGGGGTCTGAAAAATAGTTGTCTGTGGAAAAATGGAAGGACCTACATTGCTTCCTTTAGAAAAGTGAAAAAAGCTAAAACTGACTTCAACTATTTAAAAGGGATGGTACACAGAGGAGAAAATGGCCATTAAAAATAGAGCAGTGGCCCAGCTGGTGTGGCTCAGTGATTGAGTGTGTACCTATGAACTAGGAGGTCATGGTTCAATTCCCAGTCAGGGCACATACCTGGGTTGTAGACTTGGGCACATACCCCCAGTAGGGGGTATGCAGGAGGCAGCAGATCAATGATTCTCTCTCATCATTGATGTTTCTATTTCTCTCTCCCTCTCCTTTCCTCTCTGAAATAAATAAAAAATTAAATAAGTAGAGCAGCATTAGGGCCAGAGAGTGAAAGCCAGATGGTGAGTCATCTGACATGAGGGGTATCTGGATTCTTCCTCTCCACTGTAAAGATCCATTCCATCTGACATCTGGAAGATAGTCATGTTGGTTTTGCTTTGACACTTGTATAGAGTTCACTGTCTCAAGAACACCCTTCTCCACATGAGAGGGTGGTATGTGTACCTTTCTGGTGTCCAGTTGCTTCTCTCAGGTTCAAATGTAGACAACTGGTTTACCAGTTCTTCCTTCATGAATATCCTAGGATGGTGCTAATGCCTTTCCACAGGACAACTCATTGCATTTTAAAAACAGTTATCAGGTCTACCTCTTATTTTTCTATTTGTCAAACTAAACATCTCCAATTCCTCCCACCTTTATCAACTTAGTATTCAGTACCTCATTCCATTTTAGTCACTGGCCCTCCGGACACTTCCTAGTTTGTAATGTCATTAACAGACAGATGACATAAATATGCTTGACACAGTGTTATCAGCAAGAGTTCCACATAGAACTGTTCAGGAAAATCAGTCAATGTCAGCTGAACACCATGTTCACCCTATGCTATCAACATTTTATAGAGAACATACGTGGAAGGCCAGGTGCTGACAATATTTGTAGAGTCAAAATTAAGGTACATGGGATAATTTTGGAGTTTCCACAAGATATAAATCACTATGTGTACATATGTAGTGTAGTCTCAAGTTCGGAAGGGAAGGGAGTGGGCAGAATAGAGCTCAGGTGGGCTGAGGAACCAGGCTACGGATTTGAACATCAGGAGGACCTAAGCTTTACCTTAAAGGGTTGGGTAGGCCTGTCTAGAATGAAGACCTGGACAAGGAGGGAGTGTGTATATAGGAATAATGAGTAATAAAAAAAGACTAAGGTTGGTAGGAACATTTGTGGCTAAAAATGAGGGAGTGTGTATATAGGAATAATGAGTAATAAAAAAGATTAAGGTTGGTAAGGACATTTGTGGCTATAAATATAAATATTTAGATTTGTAATTTAACATTTCTAATAGGACTCCTTTATTCTATTATAAACATGCTTGACTTTGCTAAGAAATTTTCAGAACTCAGATCCCCACAGGTATCTAACTTGGCAAACTAATCCTTGATAGGACACTACTGGAGCTAAGAGAGGAATGCCAGGACTCTCCTGAGGTGGCAGATCTCATGGGTGATTTTTCTGGGCACCAATTTCCTTTATTTCAAGCATCAGAATTGTAGGCAGACTGGTGAAAGAGGTATTATTGGATAAATGCAACTTGTGGTACATTTTAACTCTTATCATCTTGGTAACAAATGACTCCAAAGGCCAAAATCCTAAATTGTGTGTCTGGTCTGAAGATTCTCTGTTTTTAAGCCTCTGTAACTGACCCCAGTCATATCTTTATTTCCAGAGCAGAGATACAGGAAAATCAATTAGAGACGATAATGAATAAGTCCAGGTAAATACACATTCTGACTTTTAATTAGCCAGTGAATTCATGAATCTCCAGGGAATACAAAGAAACATCATAAGACAATGCAATTTCCCTTACTAGGGACCATAACTGCAGAGTTACTTTTTTTTTTTGATACAATGCAATTGACTTTTATCTTTTCTTTTTTTTTTTTCACTGTGCTGTGCTCATAGCTTCTGTGGAAACTTAAACATTATTCAATAGAACAGTTTCCTGGAAAACCTTTTGAAAGTGGTCACAGACGCTGCCCTGCTCTGGTGCCCTGATCTGCCAGCATGCTGTTTTATTACCTCCAGAAGGTTCAGTGCCAAGACACAGCCCAAGAGTTACAGCTTAAAGTGAACTAGGTTCATAAAAATAATTTTCTGCCTTCTTTCAAGAAGGAAAATTGTCGCTTTCAGCTCTCAGTAATTCCATGTATCTATCACTTCTCTTCTGGCTTCATCACCCAACCTTTCAACTATCCCTTCAAGATGATGGGTAAGAGTCAGCGATTGTTAACTAAAGGGAGGACTGCTGGACTCACTCACTTCTACCCTGTTTCATCGCCAATGGCAAGCAGAGGCCCAGAATGCCTACATGACCTTCACAGGACTACACAGTAAGTAGCAGAATCAGGACCCGAACTCCACATTGCAGAGAATAAGCCAGGAATGTTTTTAACATTTAGCAACAGTACAACACAGTCAGCAAACAATTGGAACAGAGACTCTGATTGTGCTGTGTGCCAACAAAGAGCAGCCTCACCTGGACTAGAATGGATACCAGTAAGACTTTAGGAGATAGAAAGAGCCCCTTTTGATAATTAGGTTATCTAAAGCACTGAAATAATAAAATGATAATTTACTTTTAGTTGCTGTTCTCTTTTTACACCTTTTAACTTTCCTTTGAACTCCTCCCTGACTTCAAGTGTATGTCAAAATTCTCAAGACCATCTCTGTAAGTATCAACTCTCTAGCCTTTCTCCAGGGGAATACAAAGAAACATCATAAGACAATGCAATTTCCCTTACTAGGGACCATAACCGCAGAGCTACTTTTTTTTTTTTTTGATACAATGCAATTGACTTTTATCTTTTCTTTTTTTTTTTTCACTGTGCTGTGCTCATAGCTTCTGTGGAAACTTAAACATTATTCAATAGAACAGTTTCCTGGAAAACCTTTTGAAAGTGGTCACAGACGCTGCCCTGCTCTGGTGCCCTGATCTGCCAGCATGCTGTTTTATTACCTCCAGAAGGTTCAGTGCCAAGACACAGCCCAAGAGTTACAGCTTAAAGAGAACTAGGTTCATAAAAATAATTTTCTGCCTTCTTTCAAGAAGGAAAATTGTCGCTTTCAGCTTTCAGTAATTCCATGTATCTATCACTTCTCTTCTGGCTTCATCACCCAACCTTTCAACTATCCCTTCAAGATGATGGGTAAGAGTCAGCGATTGTTAACTAAAGGGAGGACTGCTGGACTCACTCACTTCTACCCTGTTTCATCGCCAATGGCAAGCAGAGGCCCAGAATGCCTACATGACCTTCACAGGGCTACACAGTAAGTAGCAGAATCAGGACCCGAACTCCACATTGCAGAGAATAAGCCAGGAATGTTTTTAACATTTAGCAACAGTACAACACAGTCAGCAAACAATTGGAACAGAGACTCTGATTGTGCTGTGTGCCAACAAAGAGCAGCCTCACCTGGACTAGAATGGATACCAGTAAGACTTTAGGAGATAGAAAGAGCCCCTTTTGATAATTAGGTTATCTAAAGCACTGAAATAATAAAATGATAATTTACTTTTAGTTGCTGTTCTCTTTTTACACCTTTTAACTTTCCTTTGAACTCCTCCCTGACTTCAAGTGTATGTCAAAATTCTCAAGACCATCTCTGTAAGTATCAACTCTCTAGCCTTTCAGGTTAAGCCCTGATTTGGTTTTTATTTTTTATTTATTTACTTTTGACATTTTATTTATTTATTTTGTTAATCCTCACCCAAGGATATTTTTCCATTGATTTTTAAAGAGAGTGGAAAGGAGGGAGAGAGACACAAAGAGAGCAACATCAATGTGAGAGAGATACATTGATTGGTTGCCTCCCGGGCTGAGCCTGCAACCAAGGTATGTGCCCTTGATTAGAATCAAACCCAGGACCCTTCAGTCTGCAGGCCAATGCTCTATCCACTGAGTCAAAACGGGTAGGGCCTGGTTAGGTTTTTAAAGGGAACATGATCTATGTGTCTACAATTTTTCTTTAAATCACTTTATCCAAGGTAAAAAAACAACAACAAAAAACACGTACTAGTTTAGCCTTTGATTTTTAACATGGATTTACTACTTATTTATATTTTTTCACTTATCACAGTCTCTTCTTAATTCCTTTCTTTCAAAATTATGAGATATTCTTTCATTGCCTCTATTGATAAGGCTGTCTGAAGCTCAAGATACAATTGGTAGATAAGTCCAGTAAAATTGGAGGCAGAAACCCACAGCTGTTACTGGTCAGAGCCTTTCCTATGATGTGCAGACTCATCATGCAGACCTGACTTGCCTTAAAACTTCTTTATGACTGACTTTTGAAAGCAGTATAAACAAGTGCAGCGAAGCAAGCATTCTTCCAGGCTTTGCACATCATTAACATCATTTTCATTAAATGTCCCATCTTTAACTTCCTAAGAGTAACTATCTTGAAATTGTGAATCCCATTAGGTATTTGCATGCTACTGAGACAAGTCTCTTAGGTACAAAGATGACTAGAACATACTTCCAATTGTCTCCATGCTTTCAAGATCTGCAAAGTTTTATTCTGAAGTTTTATGTCTTATGCTAAGCTCTACGAGAGATATGAGGAATGAGAGGAGTTGGCCCTACAGATCAAAGATCTTAAGGGTAGAAGACTTACCCGCATGAGATAATTAGAAAATAAGACAGGGTGGGATTGAGAGCTATGTGTTTAGAACTGATATAGAGGTCAGTGAGGGTAAGAATAGAGCCACTGTTGGGCACATGTTGGGAGTATTTTGCTGAAGTGTCATCCGAATTGGGGAGAGGAGAGGAGGCAAGAATCTGAGCACCACCAGGTCTAAGTGAGTAGACAGATGGTAAAGCGGTTAGCGGTGCAGAGTTGAGAGCTACAGTGGCTTTACTTCCTCTCTCATGCAGACTTTTACATCTGGTGAAAAATCTTGGATTATCTCCATAGAGAGTACATATATAATTCTTCATCAGTGAGTGTTCAGTAGGGGGGAACCCTGAACAGTAAGTAAGTCAGTTTCCAGGAAAGCAAATTACTGAGGGTTTCTATGCCATGAAACCAGCCACAGGTTGCCAACCTCAACCGACCCTGCGACAGAGGGTCACCTTCTTAGAAGTTTTCTCTGCTCTGAGATATCTAACAGGTGCTTTCTACCCACTGCTTTATAGTTTTGCCAACCTATTCCTGATTCTTTGATTCAGGCACCTTCCCACCCTTACTTCTTTGTGGGATTATTTATGAGGCCTAATTTATAAGACAGAAGTATACAATCTGCCATAACTAAAGCCTCTGAGGGGGGAAGTCCATTTTAAAGGTCCTCCTCTCAGAGGCCCAAACACCCATCCCCAGAGCTGAGGTGAGGGGTGAAGGCGGGGGGGGGGCGGTTCTAGAACTCCCTCCCAGGCCTCTGAATATGGAAAGTTAAAACAATGGTAGGGAATAAGACAAAAAAATTACTCCTTTTAGCTCCAGAGTTACCTATGTAGAGATATATGTAGAGTTAAATTCTAAAATCAATCCCTTACAGAAAATCACAAGGATTCTCATGCCTAACAAGTTAGTGGGGAGTTTTTTTCCCATTAAAATTAAAATTAAATAGAAGGCCATGGTCAATTACCCAGTTCATTCCTCCTTCCAGAAGGAAAAACATAAAGGCACTCTGTCCTTCCTACTGTGGGTGCACTTCAGCCTTAGCACGCACATCTCCGCTGAGTGGGCCATTTATATGATTGCCTGCTGGAGTTTCCTCCTTTCAACTTAGTAGGGGATATTTGTGATCTTTATTACCCCGAACAAATCTGCAAAATGCCTTTTGCTTGAGGCTCTTTATTTTAATTTCAGATAAATAAATAACATTAGGTTCCTGGCCATCGTATTAAGACAAGCATGGATCTAAAAATAACAAACATATTTCAAGCCAAATGCTTTCAGATTAAATAGTAGTAGATTTCTCTGGGTGACCCCCAAATCCTATTGATGTTGAAATATTTCTGGTACTTTGAGAGTATTGCTTGAAGAATGTAAACCTGTTTAAACTACAAGTAGAATGACTTTCAAATCATCTATGGAGCCACTTGTACAATATTATTCAACTCAAGTTTCCCTTGGCTGCAGTAAATCCATCTTTAAAGTGGGGCTATTTCCCCAGTTTTATTAGAGGGCAATTTTATATCTTTGTAGGCTAACCTAATGCCTCTATCTATACTGTGGTTTATATATGAATTATAAAGAGCTCCAAACCTGAATATCTCATCATCTTATGTATATATACTAAAAGTCTTCAAGGCAGTTCAAAGTCAATCTATTCAATAATCAATTATTCATTTGCCCTCAGTCCTCCAGAGCTGTTCCTACTTGGATTAAACACCAACTTCTTGGGAAAACCTTTGGGCTTTTGAAGGACAGTCTCCGAAAAATGTGTTTTATGGATAAAATGTTCATTTTTTTTTCTTCAAACAAGATTTGGAGTGAAGAAGACAAAATACAACATGATTTTAAATAGTCTACTATTTACTAGGTTAGGATCTAAGCATACATTCTCTGTTGGATTAGCAGTCCCCTTTAAAAAATATATGGCTAGATGGATTTGTTAAGAAACAGGAGAGCGTGTATATAATGTTCCTGTAGAGTTTCAGTCTGGCATTTTTGGTGTCTCCTTGCCCCAGAGGTTCTGGTTTCAAACACCAGGCAACCTTCTAAGTAGATCAACAAGCATATGTAATACTTTAAAAAATAAAGAATTTAATTTAGAGTTTCAGTCTGGCATTTTTGGTGTCTCCTTGCCCAGAGGTTCTGGTTTCAAACACCAGGGAACCTCCTAAGTAGATCAACAAGCATATGTAATACTTTAAACAATAAAGAATTTAAATTAAAAAAAAACAAGCATATCAGACAGGTCATGTAAATAAACTCTGATGATCAATCCTAAAGTATAAGGTGAAATATGAACCTAGGTGATCTGGTTCAGTCAATCCAGACACCTACAAGCCCCTTCTGTTGCTGAACAAGTCACCTTAAAGACAGTGGTGCCATTCCATCAGGGCTCCAGAGATCTGAGAAGCATCCTCAATGCTGCTTTGCTCCTATAAAGTGGCACCATCGGTCTATAATAAGTATCCCCACCACTGCCCACGGGTGACATAATCGTTGAAGCATGAAGCAATACCCAATCTCCAGAGCCCTGATTTATTCTGCCTGGTGATGGGCAGAGGGCATGACTTAGAGGCAAGACTCTTATCTTGGCAGGGGTCTGGGACTGGCTGCATCTCTGAAACAACCCCTAGTGGGTAACCGAGAAGTGACATTGATGGGTTTCCAGGGTGGCCCTTGTGCTTACACTTGCCCATGAATCTAGCTATGATTTAGAAATGCAGCCCAAGGGTCGAGAGGAGGGAAAGATAATGTAAAGCTTGCTAGCTGAGCCTCCTTTGACTGCAGCGGAGTGAGACAGGGATGCAGAGATGGGAAACCACGTGCTGTTATTGAGCTGGCATAGCGTGAGGTTTTGCTTTCAGAGCTTGTATTGCTGGTGCAGAGCACTGAGCTTGCTCTTTGTTTGCCATACATTCTGGTCCCCAGAGGTAGCCTCTTTTTCTCTGGAAGGGAATTTGAAAAGCAAATCACAGTCCTTATTTTATGTGGTGTCCACCATTAAGAATTCATGCAGAGCAATTTTACTTGTTGCCAATTAAGATCTCCCAGTGGAAGTCTATGATTACAGCAAAGGCAACCTGTTTAATACTTGGCGTCTCCTTCTACATAAATTAACCCCATGAGGACAGAGACATGCTAATTCTTAAGATGTCTGGATAATACGATTCTGAGATTCAAGATGCATAGAAGGTAACTCTCCTAGAGGCTCTCGGCTTGACTTCTTGGGGCATACGTGCTTTTTCTTCTTATCTCTGTTTTACAAAGGCAAGATAATTTCTAGATAACAGTAGCAAATAATTTTCTTTTCCTATGGATAGAATAGCATTCAGTGTCTCAGTAAGTAATTTTAATATCACTCAGATTTTATGGAAATTAAGATTAGAGCTGAAATGAACTGTAGGCAGTGGTGCCAATTATCTATCCCCCAAAATATATAAATATATCAAAATTAGGGAGTACATGAATGAATATTTGGAATGTAGACCATTTTATTTCAATGTTCACTCTACGTAGATAAGCAATATTTTGAATCATGATGAGAACCAACAAAAAGTTTTTGCCCATTTCCCCCCTCTCTTTCCTTAGAATAAGAATCACACATAAGCCACAAAGAAAAAGTCTATTTTTAAGAATTTTGAATACATTAAAATCAACATTTTATTGTTAGAAGGGATAGGTCTTAGGGAGTCTTAATCTAACCAGGGATCTATGGATGCTTTTTGATAAAGTGTTGTCCTCCCCTTGGTCACGTGGAAACTATCATTTCTCCTCCCGGGAAAGGAGGAGTTCAGTGCATCACCAGGGCAAACATCACTTGTCATCAACAGTTCTTCAGATTATTGGAATTTGGTCTTGAGGCTCTGGCAACCCTTCAAGAAAATGGTGAAGAACTTGGGGTTGGCTTCCCCAGACACCTACTTCCTTCTTTTACCAACAACTCAGACTTCCCACAGCACTAACTGCTTTTTCACTAGTTACCCACCCCAGGACAGTGGAGTAATGGGAAGGAGGGGGTAGAGCCATGTTTTTATTTGGCTATCAAACTGGCCAGATTACCATTTCCCAAAATGTGTTTCCTGGAACCTTAGTCAGAGTAGATAGTTCAAGAAAGATATGACTGAGTTTGTTTTAAGAAGCCAAAATTATATTTTATATTCTGTATTTGATGTATACAGCACATGTTAGCAATATAACTGGCCCTGAAAAGTTCTGCAATTAAAACAATTTTAAAGCTTGGTTTTACCTGGTGTATTTCAAATATGACCACAGAATACCTTTATTGTTCTTAAAACACCTAAAACAGTGACCCTAAAAAGGGTATTAGTATTTCTGGGCATGTGCTCGGAAAAGTGCTTTGCATCAATGATTTAGATCACTGGTTCTCAAAGGGGAGGAGAGGGGATTCTGACCTCTAGAGAACATATGGAAAATGTCTGGGGAATTTCTTTTCTGGTTGTCACAATGAGGAGGTGTTACTGGCATGTAGTGGGTTGAAGCTGGAAATTATACCAAACATCTTGCAATGGACAGGACAACCCCACCCTTGCCACCGCCCCCC